TTTACCAAAACATTTGATATCAAAGTATTAACAATTGCTACTCAAGAGGCAATACTATTGAATACACACAATGTATACAAAACAGTTCACATCACACAAAAGCTATGTATCTTGCAATATATTTACTTTGGTTTCGAGGAGGCATTATTGTACACACCTTGTGTTCATGTATGTGAAGTCAGTGAGGTAAGGTGTGGATGTAAAATTGAAATTGTGTTAGAGGTTAAAGAGTAGTTTTGGAGACAAATTAGATGGGAAACCCTTGGAAATCAATGGACCCGAGAGTTGAATGTGAAAGTAGCGAGATGTTAGATGGAGAATGATGCATTGGTGGTATTGAGTTAAATGTAGATCATGGAAGTGAGGCAGTGGTTTCATGCATGGGACAGAGGAATAGGATCTCTTACAAGGAAGTCTAATGGAAAGACACCCTATTCCTCTTGAAATTTGTCAGGTCCCTATTTCGGTTCTTAACTTTCTTGTAGATTGACCGGTTTACCAGTGAGCCCGCAGGATTTACCTCCGACGACACTACCACTCTTATCTTATCTTTCTTCCCTTGCAGATGGCCCTGCCTTACACTTAAAATTACAAACTTTGACACACAGCCCTTAGCATCCTTTTTCTCCCCTCACCTCTGATCCCCTCTCCACCTAGCTGTTTATAGCCCAAGCACTATTTTCTGCAGCAGGGATTAATAAAACAGTCTGAAACCAAGTGAGGATGTAGCTTTAAGAAGATTCTTTTAAGAGGTAGTAGGTTGGTAGACAGCAACCACCCAGGGAAGTACTACCGTCCTGCCAGATGACTGTGAAACAAAAACCTGTAACTGTTTTGCATGATGGTAGGATTGCTGGTTTCTTTTTCTGTCTCATAAACACGCTAAGATAACAGGGATATCTTGCTACTCCTACTTACACTTTGGTCACACTTCACAGACACGCACATGCATATATATATATACATACATCTAGGTTTTTCTCCTTTTTCTAAATAGCTCTTGTTCTTTTTTATTTCTTCTATTGTCCATGGGGAAGTGGAAAAGAATCTTTCCTCCGTAAGCCATGCGTGTCGTATGAGGCGACTAAAATGCCGGGAGCAATGGGCTAGTAACCCCTTCTCCTGTATACAATTACTAAAAAAGAGAAGAAGAAAAACTTTATAAAACTGGGTTGCTTAAATGTGCGTGGATGTAGTGCGGATGACAAGAAACAGATGATTGCTGATGTTATGAATGAAAAGAAGTTGGATGTCCTGGCCCTAAGCGAAACAAAGCTGAAGGGGGTAGGAGAGTTTCAGTGGGGGGAAATAAATGGGATTAAATCTGGAGTATCTGAGAGAGTTAGAGCAAAGGAAGGGGTAGCAGTAATGTTAAATGATCAGTTATGGAAGGAGAAAAGAGAATATGAATGTGTAAATTCAAGAATTATGTGGATTAAAGTAAAGGTTGGATGCGAGAAGTGGGTCATAATAAGCGTGTATGCACCTGGAGAAGAGAGGAATGCAGAGGAGAGAGAGAGATTTTGGGAGATGTTAAGTGAATGTATAGGAGCCTTTGAACCAAGTGAGAGAGTAATTGTGGTAGGGGACTTGAATGCTAAAGTAGGAGAAACTTTTAGAGAGGGTGTGGTAGGTAAGTTTGGGGTGCCAGGTGTAAATGATAATGGGAGCCCTTTGATTGAACTTTGTATAGAAAGGGGTTTAGTTATAGGTAATACATATTTTAAGAAAAAGAGGATAAATAAGTATACACGATATGATGTAGGGCGAAATGACAGTAGTTTGTTGGATTATGTATTGGTAGATAAAAGACTGTTGAGTAGACTTCAGGATGTACATGTTTATAGAGGGGCCACAGATATATCAGATCACTTTCTAGTTGTAGCTACACTGAGAGTAAAAGGTAGATGGGATACAAGGAGAATAGAAGCATCAGGGAAGAGAGAGGTGAAGGTTTATAAACTAAAAGAGGAGGCAGTTAGGGTAAGATATAAACAGCTATTGGAGGATAGATGGGCTAATGAGAGCATAGGCAATGGGGTCGAAGGGGTATGGGGTAGGTTTAAAAATGTAGTGTTAGTGTGTTCAGCAGAAGTTTGTGGTTACAGGAAAGTGGGTGCAGGAGGGAAGAGGAGCGATTGGTGGAATGATGATGTAAAGAGAGTAGTAAGGGAGAAAAAGTTAGCATATGAGAAGTTTTTACAAAGTAGAAGTGATGCAAGGAGGGAAGAGTATATGGAGAAAAAGAGAGAGGTTAAGAGAGTGGTGAAGCAATGTAAAAAGAGAGCAAATAAGAGAGTGGGTGAGATGTTATCAACAAATTTTGTTGAAAATAAGAAAAAGTTTTGGAGTGAGATTAACAAGTTAAGAAAGCCTAGAGAACAAATTGATTTGTCAGTTAAAAATAGGAGAGGAGAGTTATTAAATGGAGAGTTAGAGGTATTGGGAAGATGGAAGGAATATTTTGAGGAATTGTTAAATGTTGATGAAGATAGGGAAGCTGTGATTTCGTGTATAGGGCAAGGAGGAATAACATCTTGTAGGAGTGAGGAAGAGCCAGTTGTGAGTGTGGGGGAAGTTCGTGAGGCAGTAGGTAAAATGAAAGGGGGTAAGGCAGCCGGGATTGATGGGATAAAGATAGAAATGTTAAAAGCAGGTGGGGATATAGTTTTGGAGTGGTTGGTGCAATTATTTAATAAATGTATGGAAGAGGGTAAGGTACCTAGGATTGGCAGAGAGCATGCATAGTTCCTTTGTATAAAGGCAAAGGGGATAAAAGAGAGTGCAAAAATTATAGGGGATAAGTCTGTTGAGTGTACCTGGTAAAGTGTATGGTAGAGTTATAATTGAAAGAATTAAGAGTAAGACGGAGAATAGGATAGCAGATGAACAAGGAGGCTTTAGGAAAGGTAGGGGGTGTGTGGACCAGGTGTTTACAGTGAAACATATAAGTGAACAGTATTTAGATAAGGCTAAAGAGGTCTTTGTGGCATTTATGGATTTGGAAAAGGCGTATGACAGGGTGGATAGGGGGGCAATGTGGCAGATGTTGCAAGTGTATGGTGTAGGAGGTAGGTTACTGAAAGCAGTGAAGAGTTTTTACGAGGATAGTGAGGCTCAAGTTAGAGTATGTAGGAAAGAGGGAAATTTTTTCCCAGTAAAAGTAGGCCTTAGACAAGGATGTGTGATGTCACCGTGGTTGTTTAATATATTTATAGATGGGGTTGTAAGAGAAGTAAATGCGAGGGTCTTGGCAAGAGGCGTGGAGTTAAAAGATAAAGAATCACACACAAAGTGGGAGTTGTCACAGCTGCTCTTTGCTGATGACACTGTGCTCTTGGGAGATTCTGAAGAGAAGTTGCAGAGATTGGTGGATGAATTTGGTAGGGTGTGCAAAAGAAGAAAATTAAAGGTGAATACAGGAAAGAGTAAGGTTATGAGGATAACAAAAAGATTAGGTGATGAAAGATTGAATATCAGATTGGAGGGAGAGAGTATGGAGGAGGTGAACGTATTCAGATATTTGGGAGTGGACGTGTCAGCGGATGGGTCTATGAAAGATGAGGTGAATCATAGAATTGATGAGGGAAAAAGAGTGAGTGGTGCACTTAGGAGTCTGTGGAGACAAAGAACTTTGTCCTTGGAGGCAAAGAGGGGAATGTATGAGAGTATAGTTTTACCAACGCTCTTATATGGGTGTGAAGCGTGGGTGATGAATGTTGCAGCGAGGAGAAGGCTGGAGGCAGTGGAGATGTCATGTCTGAGGGCAATGTGTGGTGTGAATATAATGCAGAGAATTCGTAGTTTGGAAGTTAGGAGGAGGTGCGGGATTACCAAAACTGTTGTCCAGAGGGCTGAGGAAGGGTTGTTGAGGTGGTTCGACATGTAGAGAGAATGGAGCGAAACAGAATGACTTCAAGAGTGTATCAGTCTGTAGTGGAAGGAAGGCGGGGTAGGGGTCGGCCTAGGAAGGGTTGGAGGGAGGGGGTAAAGGAGGTTTTGTGTGCGAGGGCTTGGACTTCCAGCAGGCATGCGTGAGCGTGTTTGATAGGAGTGAATGGAGACAAATGGTTTTTAATACTTGACGTGCTGTTGGAGTGTGAGCAAAGTAACATTTATGAAGGGATTCAGGGAAACCGGCAGGCCGGACTTGAGTTCTGGAGATGGGAAGTACAGTGCCTGCACTCTGAAGGAGGGGTGTTAATGTTGCAGTTTTAAAAACTGTAGTGTAAAGCACCCTTCTGGCAAGACAGTGATGGAGTGAATGATGGTGAAAGTTTTTCTTTTTCGGGCCACCCTGCCTTGGTGGGAATCGGCCGGTGTGATAATAAAAATAAATACAGGCAGGCCCTGCTCTATAGCAGTTTTCAATTATACCCATTCTTCATTTATTCAGACTTCCAACAATAAATATATTCACTCACTATAAGGACGAAAATATTTTAAGTAATAAGTGTACTGTATTTGCATTTTTAGGTCTAATTCTATTGCTCACTTATATACGAGTGTAAAAATGTTTTTAGACTTGCATTGGAAAGTAAAAAAAAAAAAAGGCTGATTCCCCTTAGTGATTTTTGCTTTACATCAGTAACCCCTCGAGGGAGATTCCTTGACGCTGGTGAGTGGTTCTTGATCTAAGGAATTGGATCTGTGTTCGTTCCCCGAATTAAGCCTGAATATCTTACTCCCCCCACAGGCACTGTATAATCCTACGGGTTCAGCGCTCCCCATGATTATAAATTATCAAGATGCTTTTCACAAATATTTCAGTAGCATTTTTTAAGTTAATTTGTAACCGTCAGAATTTTGCAGCTGTTAAACTGAGATGCTTATAAGTTCAGTTGTACAGTATTCATATCAGCATAAATATTTAGGAAAATTGTGAAATAAATTCATAATTCTATTTGGACTGATAGCTAGAATACTACAAATGGGAAGTAGTCCTTTAAAAATGTTAAGAGAAAGAGATGCACCACAATATAGGCCATTTATATATGCCAGTAACTCAAGATATTTAATAATTTGGAACATGCAAGTGAGCTTGTGAAGGAGTGCTACTTGCAGCGTTGGAATTAACAGCAACACCATTAATGGTAACTCGGGTTGGGGAACTAATGGACTGAATTTCTCGTGGATTAATTGTTGGAGGAGGATCTCCTCCAGACATTGATCGGCTACGTCGTGGTGGCACAGGTGGTGCAACCCCAACTGGCCCAGAAATTGTAATTTTGGAATTTCTTTGCTTTGTGGGTGATGCTGTGACAGCAGTCTTAGACCACTGCCCAGCCCTGCGCTTTATAAATCCTTTGAATGCATCACGTGCCCAGTAGAAATACACAATAAGACCCAAAAGTATAAGTAGTATAAGTAAGAAGGACAAAGTGAGTGCTACAATATGTCCAACATGGTTAATATGTTCTTCCGCATCCAGAGTGGGTTTTCCTTCATGAGTGTCCACGTCCACTTCATTGTAATCAGTGTCGTCAGGAACAATACTGGGCGTGTCATCAGCTGAACCATCCTCTTCTGTAATAGTAACGTCTGCACATGCACGGAATTCTTCTTGTTTTCCACAGCCTACCATAGATGTACCATTTTCACACTTTCCCCAATTGTTGCCAGCTACATAACGCCACTGCAATACACACTGAGTACATGTCAAGCCTGGTGGAAGGCGATACTTGGCATAAAATTTCTTAGCACCAGGTCCTGGAAAATACCTGTTGAGCAAAATTTACAATTAACTTCGTTTAGCTAATCTAATTTTGTATTTCCTTAACACAAATGATGTACAGTTATCTGATGCAATAAAATTCCAAATTCATGTATAAATTCGATCCTTTTACAGAAAAGTCTTGCAAATAGCTTTTGTGTGTGTGTGTGTGTCATGCCGAATAGGTAAAAATTGGTCAATTAGCAAGAACTCGAAAAATTAAGTCTTGTACAATTTACTTATGTTTAAAGATATATTTTTTAGTTAATGTAAAAATTTATTTTGTACCAAAAGAACCTTAGAAAACTTACCAAACCTTATTATAACAAGCGCAATTTAATTTAGCCTAATCCAACTAAGTATATTTTAGATAAGTTTACAATTTAATAATAACCATAAAATAATTTTTTTTTCGTTAGGTTCAGAATGATTTTTTGCGAAATTAATATCCCAACCCCCTCCTTTAAAGTGCAGGCACTGTACTTCCCACCTCCAGGACTTGAGTCCGGCTAACCAGTTTCCCTGAATCTCTTCACAAAATATTACCCCGTTTACACTCCAACAGCTCGCCAGGTCCCAAAAACCATTCGTCTTAATTACTCCTAACATGCATGAGCGTGTTAGGTAGGCATGTCCAGGCCCCTTGCACAAAAAAACCTCTTACCCCTTCCCTCCATCCTTTCACAGGATGACCCCTCCACCTATTTTGCTCCAGCCTCTCCAAATGAGCAAATCTCAATAATCCCTCTGAATAATACTTTTAGTAACTCCACACTATGAATTCTCTGCATATTTACATTACACATTGCCCTTAGACACAGCATCTCCATTGCCTCCACCCTTTCTTTTGACACCCCTCGAGGGAGGTTCCTTGATGCTGGTGAGGGGCTTTTGATCTAGGGAATTGGATCTGTGCTCCAGTTCCATGAAACTTGAATACCTTCCATTCCCCCCCCCACAGGTGCTGTATAATCCTACGGGTTTAGCGCTTCCCATGATAATTTTTTTTGATAAGATGTGAAATACTTGGGTGTCAGTGCTTTGAGATGTTCTGCCTGTGCAGTAGGTTTTATCAGTTTAATACAGGGGCATGAAGATAATGACTTTTACAAGAGTGTATGGAAGACATTGTTCCATGTAAGTGAGACCCACTAATAGAAGTAGGTCAGTCCCATAAGGTTTCCCATAGATTTAGCAACTGAGTTTTAAAACATGGAAAGATGCACCAGTTGAAGGGGTGGTCATGTGGATAAAGTCCACTATTGGAAACAGGTCATACCCATAAGGGGTGCCAGACACTTAGCAATGTAGTTTAAGAGGAGAGTCTCTGTACCAAGATTCCACAGTGGTGTTAGGCCAGTATCATTTGATAAATGGTATAATATGAGCAGGTTGACAAATAAAAAACTAGTTGGTATACCAGCGACATAGTATTTGACACAGCAACACCATGGAATCTTAGCACAGAATCTCTTCTACAATTTCAATGCTAATTCTTTGACTCTCCTTATGAAAATGATACCTTACGCACTCCCCTCAGCCCTTTCTAGCTCAAGTCTCTTGCTGCCCTTTACCCTTTCACCATCCACTACCCCGCTGTTATCCGTAACCTATTACTCATCCACCTCCCTTTTGCCACCTGATGCCCTCGCTTCCTTCCAGCGCTGTATAGCCCTTGTGGCTTAGCGCTTCTTTTTGATTATAATAATCCTTATGAAACTTGACTTATATCCACTCGTGGGTCCTGCCTTCATGTGACTACATCTACTAGATCTCTCCACATGTTTAATAACTCCATTGCTAAATATGTGGCCAACTGTACAGACCTGCCGTATTTCCACTGGTTCCAGTATAAACGTTGATGTCCTCATGCCTCTATTAAATTGATAGCCTAGTGCACTGGTGAAAGCTCTCAAAGATAGGCAGATGTTGCATGAATTTTTTCATCAACTTGTCTGTATTATAGCATTGATCTAACGACTTTTTAACGGTGTCCATTTTGTTTTGTATTGGCGTAAGACTCTTATATGGAAAACCATGGTATTTTGTTCAAAATGTTCTTAAGATTTTTTTCCATGGTCAATTTTTTTTTTTAACTAGAAAGCACACGAAACGAACTGCAGAATTTTTCTTAAAGGTTCCAATTCACTTTCCATATAATTTTTTTTTCTGGTCTGTCATGTGTATGATAATGATTTTAAAACAGAGATATACTTAGAGGCCATTTCTCTTTGTGAGCGAGAGTCCCATAATTTTTAATCTGCATTATTTCCAAATGACATTTTTGGGGGCACAAATCTGTAAAAAAAATAATTTTTTTTTGATGAGCATTTTCATTTAACTTGGAACATGACAACTAAATTAAAATGAAACTTGTCATTCAAAATTCACTCACTCGGTTTCCCACATCCAAATTGTTCATATCTACAATTATATTTGATGTAAAAAGGAGAAATTCATTGTTTTCTTGTCTACACACCTGGTGAAGAGGCTTTTGGTCTGAGGAATTAGACCCTTCGGTCTTCTTCCTCCCAGTGAACCTAATCATAACCCCCCCCATCCCTCCCCTCTCTCATACTTTTGGTCTTTGGGAGGTCCTTACCTCAGCAATTCGAGCTCATAGGTTTGGGGAACGAGTATCATTGTCCATCTCATTCTTTTGAGGTCCTCGGTGTTGTCTGCTGTGGGATCTGGAACATCAGGGGATGTCCCAATCCCCCTCCGGTCTCCCAGGGGCAACTTGTGATGTCTTTCAGGTGATGAGTGTATCTCTGGAGGCTATCTGTTGCATTCTGAGAGGTGGTAGCTGAAGGAGATATGCCATATGGCAGGTTTCTGACCACCCTGTCTTTTGTCCACCAAGATGGCTCAGTGAATGTGAGGTTATCCTAGAATGACGGTTTACTGGCATGAAAGGGCATTTCTCCTGCTCCTGTACCTCCTACTGGTGCTATTTTGTCACCCGCACCAGGTACCTGGGTTCCACTCGACTCCTTTGATACAACTGACATCCACACTTCTTTGACCATGTTTCTGGCCTCTCTCTCTATGGTGTGGTGCTTTTTGGATCACCCGACTCCGGTCCCACACCTAAACGCCCAAGACCATTACCTGATGATCCTCCTTTACTTCCTTCTCATTCTGCCCAGAAAAGACTGTCAGGACACTCCCCCCTTACATGCTATGTTTCAAAATACACAATGGACTAAGTTTTTTACTCTGCGATTGACTTCTGACTATCTTTCCAATCATAGTATTGGCAAGGAACTACTATGCCATGTTGGTCAAGATATATCCTTTCATGCTCTTGAGCGGTGCACGTACAGTCATGGTCCAGAATGCTAGCCTAGCTCACGATCATCATCTTACAACCATACATGCTATTCCTGTAGCTATTGAAAAACATTCTCTCTATTCTTGTAGTGGTACTGCCATTGTACCTCACCATTGTCCAACAGAATTTCCAGACATGTGGTGATGACATTCTGGAACAGCTTGAGCTCCAAGACCTCCCAATCCTCAAAGTTGACACTTATGTCCTCCCTGCCTGCAGGCTTAACATTTGACTACCTGAACTTGTCCTCGGTTTTATTGCAGGACACCATTTACAAGTTCGAAAAGTGATTCCTACACTGCAACAGTGTAGAAATTGCTGGCATTTTGATCCAGTGAAATAATGCAGGTCCATGGCTGAATGCCCAGTCTGTGTTGCCGACAACCATGCCAATGTCTTGTGGTCTACCTCCCTCTTGCCTTATTTGTCATGAGGCTCACCCATCTTTGTCTCGCCTTTGTCAAGTTTATTTAAATGAGGGAGAAATCCGTTGTCTCAAAGAGGCAGAAAGCTTTCCATATGCTATGGCAGTCTCTTGTCTATGCCTCCAAGGAAGACTTTCTCATATTTCTTATTCTCGAGTACTACACGACCTCCCACCTCTGGGGTCCCAACTTTTGCAGCCTCCTCTGTAGCCAAACCTTCCAAAGTCACCGTCTCTAATTCTTTTGCTGTCCTGGACTCAGAGGTTCCTACCTAGACACCTCATTCTGTTCTCGCCTCATTCCCTTCTCACTCAAGTTTGTGTCTACAAGACCTCGTACAACAACTCCTCCCCATCACCCCTCTACTCCGAAGTCCAAAATATCCCCACTGTTAAAATCTCCTTTAACTCCTCCTTCCCTTCTACCTGCACATTTTTCTTTTCCAGTCTCTCTAACTGGTTCTTCACCTCTAACTGGGTATGTTACAAATATGGAGGCTCATCCTTTTCCTCGTACAGTACCTTCCTCCCCTGTCCCCTCCCAAGTTTCTTCTGCCCCTTCCCAAGTCACTTCCTCTCCTGTCCCCTTCCCAGGTTCTCCAGTTCCCTCTACCCTTTCATCCCTCCCCTACTCTGGTACATTCCATCGTCGCCCCAATCTTTACTCACCCTCCTCCTATCTCCAATATCATCCCACAAACAACATCCTTGTCCTCTGAAACACTTGAAGCTATCTCCGAATATACTGAGGAGACTAGACCATTGATGGACACCAATCCTCCACCTGTTCCTTCTCTTCACTCTTTGTCTGCGCAACTCCTTTCTCCTTTCTTTGCAGTGTCCCAATCCTTCGCTGCTTGTGTGTTTTCCACTGCCTCCACATGCAGACTTTTCTAACCCTTCTAGTCCATAGATACCTCTGCCTTCAGATTTTTTGTACCTTTCTCTTCGCAAATCGTGGCTTACAGTGGAATACCCATGGCCTCAGAGGTAACTGGGGTGAGCTTTAGGTGTTGCTCTCCCAGTTTTCCCATTTGTATTTGTTTACACTCCACTGTTATCTATCCCATCTCAGGCTATGCTTTATTATATTCATTGGATCCTTTTTCCAATGGAACTTTTAATGAAAATGCACTTTTTATACACACCGGTATTCCATTCCATCAGCTCTTTGTTTATACTTCGCTGGATTACACTGCAGCCCACATCCACTTACATAAGTGGTATAGAATCTGTTCTTTGTATCTCCTTCTCGGGCATTATCTATCCCAGATGTTGCATTTCTGGTTTCTTCTTTACTGCCACCACTTCTGTTACTTGGCAATTTTAATGCTCACCATTTCCTGGGGGGGGGGGTTCTCACTGTGATTCCCGCAGCATTCAGTAGGAGCCTTTTCTCACTTCTCTCCCCTTCCATGTTTTAAATACAGGTACTCCCACCCATTTTGATCCTCGTACTCATTCTCTCTTTTGCATCGATCTCTCTTCCTCAACTGTACTAGACCTTACCTGGTCTGTCCTCCTGGACTTGCATGACAGCAATCATTTTCCAATCATCCTTCCTTCTCCTTTGTATTCACCACCTCCTCATAGCCCACGCTGGCAATCTGACAGTGAATTGGAACCTTTACTCACATGAAACTGCTTTTATAAAGTGAGGATCCTTCTTTGTCCTCCATTGATGAGCTTTTACACCTATTCTCGACTTCAGTTTTAACCACAGCTTCACATGCTATACCCCAAACCTCGGGCATGCATTTTCAGAGGTGAGTGCCTTGGTGGTCTCCTGCTTGTGCTCCGGCAGTACGTTCGAAACGTGATGCGTGGGGCAGGTACCAGTACAGTAGAATCACAGAGCAACTCCTTGATTTTAAGCAGAAGAAAGCAATCACCCGCTGTGTCATCCATGGTGCTAAACATGCTTGCTTTGTGGGATTATGCTTCTGTTACTTTGGCTTCCTCTATGAGTGCAGTCTGGAAAAAAGTACGGAAACTGAGTGGTAAATACTCTCCCAACCAGGCTCCCATTCTTTGGGTTGGCGATGTCATTATAGCACACCCTCTCGACATTGCCATCAAAATTAGTAATCAGCTTGTCCTTATCTCTCAGGGTCTCCATCTATGCCCCTTGTTTCTTTCCTCCAAGTCTGCCAGAGAGAGCCCTTAAAGTTTTCTTCTATCAAAGAATCCTACAATGTGCCTTTTACACTTCTGGAACTGGAGACAACACTTTCTGCTTGCTGATCATCGGCATTTGCATTCGTATGCTACAGCATTTACATCAGTCAGCCCTTGCTGTCCTCTTACGACTCTCTAATCTTAATTGGTCGCAAGTTCTTTCCCAGCTGTGGAAATCTGCCATTGTTCTCCTTTTCTGCAAACTGGGTACTATGGAGCATAATGCCTCCCACTATCATCCCATTACTCTTACCAGTGCAGTTTACAAGGTGATGGAACGCCTGGTAAATAGAAGTTTCATGTGGTATTTAGAGACACACAATAGTCTCTCCACTAGTCAATATGGCTTTCGTCCCTGTTCTACCAATGACCCCTTACTATGCTTGGATACGTATGCTCATAATGCCTTTGCCAATAACCACTCAGTTATTGCCATCTTTTTTGACCTTGAGAAGGAATGTGACACAACTTGGAGGTACATCATCTTGGCCCAGGCCCACTCAAGCCTCCGAGGCAATCTACCATTTTTCCTTAAGAACTTTTTAACTGAGAGACATTTCCATGTTCTGGTTAATAATGTGCTTTCTCTGGACTTTGTCCAAGCTGAAGTTGTTTCCCAGGGATGTGGTCTGAGCACAACACTTTCTTCTTGCTATGAATGATCTGGCATCTATTCTTACATCTAATATTTGGTAGTCACTATGTTGATGACTTTGCTATAACTTGTGCAGGTGCTGTCACCTCACTGCAGTTTCTCTCAAGCATGCTGTAAACCATATTTCCAACTGGGCCACTACTCATGGGCTTAAATTTTCTAGCACTAAGACTCACCAAATTACTTTCCTAGATATTCTGTCATTTCTTATCATCCATCGTACCTATATGGCTCATGTATCCCAGAACGTGATAGTCAGGTTTCTTGGCCTTCTGTTTGACCATTAGTTATCCTGGAAACCTTACATTACCTCTCTGAAGGTAACTTGCCATAGCAGGCTGAACCTCCTTAAAACCCTCGGTCATCATTCATGGGGAACTGATCGCAGAGCTCTCCTTTAACTACATTCAGCCCTAGTTTTATTGAAACTCAATTATGGCGATCAGATATATTCAGTGGCCTCTCCTGCAACTCTTTCTAGCCTTAATACCATCCATCACCAGCGATTATGTTTATGCCTCGATGCTTTTCGCTCTTCACCAGTTGAGCCTCTATGCAGAGGCAAATATTCCATCTTTGACCAATTGCCATGATGCTCAATGACTTCGCCATTATGTTTGCTCTCATGACCTCAGCAATCTTTCCATATATAGAATAATCACTGATGTTAGTAGACATTGTTCGTCGCCCATTTACGCCGTCCCTTTTCACCTACATTCGCTCTTTTCTTCTCTTCAGTTACCACATTTCTATGTTCATGTAGCATCTCACTTTTCCCTACCCCCTTGGGAAGGTCCGACGGTTCATGTCTGTTCTTTCCCACTGCCATGCCGAAAGAACAACTGCCTATGGTGGCTTTGCAGGCAGTGTACACTGATGGTGTCAGATTCGCAGCAGTGTTTCCGGACAGCGTTGTCCTCAGTGTCAAGGTTGGGACACTGCTCTCTCCCTGTCTTTGCATCGGCCACACTCGTTTTACTCACGGGTATCTCATGAAGAGGTGCCCTGTTCCACTCTGAGAGAATTGTCAGGTTCCTTTTTCTGTTAGCCATATTCTGTTGGACTGCCCACTATTAACGAGCATGCAGAATTTACCTTCAATGTCGTCACCACTCTACTGCCCTCCTTTAACCCACTCTCATTGACTTTTTGACAGCAACTGATTTACTGCACGCATTCTGATGATGATGCCTCTAGCATTCCTCACAGCCCTTTCTATCTTAATCTCATGCTACTCTCTACCCCTACACTCCATGACCTAATAATAATCCCTCTCCCTCTTGCTACCCAATGCCCTTGCACCTTTCCCTGCGCTGTATGACCCTTGTAGGTCTAGCACTTCTTTTTGATAATACTAATCAAGTAAATCTAATAACAGAGATTTCTCTGAGGACTCACCTTGGACCAGAACCATCAGCTTTCTGCAGGACATATTTGTCAAGGCACTCATTGGTTACTGGTTTAGAAGGTCGATTGTGAGGACAAAGACGGAATTCAAAGAATCCCATGTGGTTGGCAGTAAGCTCGACACCCAACTGGATTCTACTACTGTGTTTGTACTTCTTCACTATGACTCCTCGACCATATTTTCCACCACCCTCATTGTCACGAGGCTGTGAAAGAGAAAGCATAACTGTTCTTTATTGAATTTGGAGACCAAGTAGTATATTAACATGTTTTTTATTGTATGAGAAAATATAAAGGTACACAATTTACTGTTTAATTTAAACACTTTGGTCCTGCTTGTAATTTGCCTCCTTTAGAAGTTAGGACCCAGTTAAAATTTGATTCACATACTTTAAATGTCTTTTAAGTCTACATAAACTTCTGACGAAGCATAGAAACCTTTGACCAAGATCTCCGCACACTTGTCTTTTGCTTAAGGGAAGCCGACAGCACTAACTTCCACTTACAAGAATGTGAAAATTTTTTAAGAAGCATAGTATAATATATGAAAAAATACAAAGGGAGTAAAAGAAAACTGAAAAAAAAATTGGTAAAAACGTAGTGTGTAATGTTCATGTGAAAAATTAACTACAAAATTACAGGTATATCTTGCTACTTTTACTTACACTTAGGTCACACTACACATGCATGTACAAATTTTTCTTAATAGTTCTTATCTCCTTTCATATCCATGCCGGAAGCAATGAGCTAGTCACCCTTTCTTCCATATAGGTTACTGAGTGTGCGTGGATGTAGTGCAGATGATCAGAAAGCCCTTACTTAGTATGCAGAGCATTTGGGGAAACTCAAGCATGGATTCAAGTTATTTCAATCTCCTGTATGTTCTGACCTCACAAGCGATTTTTCTCTGTATACACCCGCTTGTTTCTGTGTGGTGCATTGATATAAAAATTGCTTGTGAGGTCAGAAAATACAGGAGACTGAAATAGCTTGAATCCATGCTTGAGGCTCATTGACATGCCTGGGATGGGAAAGAAACATGGCTTGTGAACCGGGCTGCCCAGCTTATGTGGCATTTGTGGCCGAATGGATAAGAGCGCTGCCGGGAAATCTTGTCCGTCTCAGTAGCAGTATCGAGTCCTGCTGACTGCGATCTTTCTCTGTACATACCCGCTTGTTTCGCATGGTGCATATATATATATATATATATATATATATATATATATATATAATATATATATATATATATATATATATATATATATATATATATATATATTGTAACCACAAACGAGTGGTATTTAATCAATAACACTGCGACTAGCAAAGGACTCGAACCCATGCCGTTTTGACCCACCTTACGGTGTATATATGGGAATATTTATAGGTTACTAAAAAAACTACCCTACATTTATATTTTAACATAACCCTATCAAAATTTTGTACCTTTGCATAAATTTAATCAAGCAGCTGCAGCATTTTATATCACAACTCGCTATAATATTAAAAGAGAGATGCCTTACTTGTGGCATGTGCCACGGGTCACCACAGGGACCACACTTGCCGCCATTTCGCTGCCACTGTGTTGCAAACCCACCACAATAAATTTCATGGTCATTGTAATTGTGAGGGGTATTAAAGCCGTACCTGCAGGAGGAAAATACTGAGGTTACTGTATAATACATATTAAGCAATGCCTGTAACATTACTGTAATAGTGTACATAATCTTACACTAAATACTGTATTGCATAGAGAAAAAGTACTTCATCTCTGAGCCTATAATGATTCCTGTCCTAAACACAAAAATTGAGCAATAATTATATAACATTTATTCCTATTAGTACATGTACAATGTATACAGTCATCAAAAAATGACCATAGGTTGCAAATTTATACAGAATTTGTTGCCTTTTATACATTGTTATGAGGCTGTATAATTACCAAGGTTTCTGCCGAGACCTATTTATGACTTGAGTGTATGAGCCTTCGTGTGTGTGTGTGCGCATATATATATATATATATATATATATATATATATAATATATATATATATATATATATATATATATATATATATATATATCAACAAACCGGCCGTATCCCACCAAGGCAGGGTGGCCCAAAAAGAAAAACGAAAGTTTCTCTTTTTAAATTTAGTAATTTATACAGGAGAAGGGGTTACTAGCCCCTTGCTCCCGGCATTTTAGTCGCCTCTTACAACACGCATGGCTTACGGAGGAAGAATTCTGTTCCACTTCCCCATGGAGATATGAGGAAATAAACAAGAACAAGAACTAGAAAGAAAATAGAAGAAAACTCAGAGGGGTGTCTATATATATGCTTGTACATGTATGTGTAGTGTGACCTAAGTGTAAGTAGTAGTAGCAAGACGTACGTGAAATCTTGCATGTTTATGAGACAGAAAAAAGACACCAGCAATCCTACCATCATGTAAATCAATTACAGGTTTCCGTTTTACACTCACTTGGCAGGACGGTAGTACCTCCCTGGGCGGTTGCTGTCTACCAACCTACTACTACTACACACACACAATATAATATTATATATATATATATATATAAGACCATTAAGACTACAAATATTTTAAGGTAAGTAATGAGTGTGGGTGGGGTGGGGTGGCCTGGCTGGCTGGCTATCATACCCGCCACACCTGACTTCTTATAATAAACACTACACACTTCTCATCCTAAACTAAGACTACAAATATTTTGAGGTAAGTAATGAGTGTACTGTGAGTGTAATTTACTTTTTATTGTTTTTAATGTCTAGTTCTATTGCTAGTGTAAACTTATTATCTGACATAAGTGGAAACTGGCATCCGCTTTCCAGCGATGTCCGCTTTCAGGCGGTAGCCTGGAATCTAACCAACCATATAAGTGTGGCCCTACTGCGTGTGTGTGTGTGTGTGTGTGTGTGTGTGTGTGTGTGTGTGTGTACTCACCTAGTTGTACTACTAGTTTAGTGCAGGGGGCATCCAAACTC